ATGTCAACAACATTGGCAGATGAAGAAGCATACAATTCTGTTTTGTAAGTGAGCGAGTCGACCTGCTGTTTTGTAAGTGAGCGAGTCAACCTGCTGTTTTGTAAGTGAGCGAGTCGACCTGCTGTTTTGTAAGTGAGCGAGTCGACCTGCTGTTTTGTAAGTGAGGGAGTCGACCTGCTGTTTTGTAAGTGAGGGAGTCGACCTGCTGTTTTGTAAGTGAGCGAGTCGACCTGCTGTTTTGTAAGTGAGCGAGTCGACCTGCTGTTTTGTAAGTGAGCGAGTCGACCTGCTGTTTTGTAAGTGAGCGAGTCGACCTGCTGTTTTGTAAGTGAGGGAGTCGACCTGCTGTTTTGTAAGTGAGGGAGTCGACCTGCTGTTTTGTAAGTGAGGGAGTCGACCTGCTGTTTTGTAATAAAACGATTCACTGTTTTGTAAATAACAGAGTTGCTGATTTACATTACAAACGAACCACTTAGCGGGTTCACCCTCCCAGTCACTGGTCACACCTGAAGATATTTAAGTGACCTAGAGGGAGTACACTGCAGAGCAAGCAGAGGCCAGAGGCGCCTAGACCAAGCAAGCAGAGGCCAGAGGCGCCTAGACCAAGCAAGCAGAGACCAGAGGCGCCTAGACCAAGCAAGCAGAGACCAGAGGCGCCTAGACCAAGCAAGCAGAGACCAGAGGCGCCTAGACCAAGCAAGCAGAGACCATAGGCGCCTAGACCAAGCAAGCAGAGACCAGAGGCGCCTAGACCAAGCAAGCAGAGACCAGAGGCGCCTAGACCAAGCAAGCAGAGGCCAGAGGCGCCTAGACCAAGCCAGCAAAGACCAGAGGCGCCTAGACCAAGCCAGCAGAGACCAGAGGCGCCTAGACCAAGCAAGCAGAGACCAGAGGCGCCTAGACCAAGCAAGCAGAGACCAGAGGCGCCTAGACCAAGCAAGCAGAGACCAGAGGCGCCTAGACCAAGCCAGCAGAGACCAGAGGCGCCTAGACGAAGCAAGCAGAGACCAGAGGCGCCTAGACCAAGCAAGCAGAGACCAGAGGCGCCTAGACCAAGCAAGCAGAGACCAGAGGCGCCTAGACCAAGCAAGCAGAGACCAGAGGCGCCTAGACCAAGCAAGCAGAGACCAGAGGCGCCTAGACCAAGCAAGCAGAGACCAGAGGCGCCTAGACGAAGCAAGCAGAGACCAGAGGCGCCTAGACCAAGCAAGCAGAGACCAGAGGCGCCTAGACCAAGCCAGCAGAGACCAGAGGCGCCTAGACCAAGCTGACACAGAACACGGAGCGGGGTTGTCCTCGGGGACGTGACCACCTGGGTGACCAGGAACACAAATCACAGGTGAGGGACGACACGGTGGAACAGCACCGTGACGGCGGGATGGAAGAGGAGGGAGGCTCCGTGGGCCATGGAACCGGGGGGGGGGGGTGGAGAACTGAGTAGGATAGGGTCGAAAAAAGGGGAGAATATATGGGACAGGGTTAGAAGAGGGAAGGAAAGAAAAAGGGTGGGTGAGGAGGAGCCAAGATGTATCACGAGAGTGTGATGTCATTCAACCATTGTAGATGAAGAAAGTGCGGAAATGAAGCAAAAATGTTGTATATAGTGTGAATCATAAGAGCCGGCGGACTGTCCGCCTTGCTGATACACTCTTGTGGAGATTGTTCAAAACACGTTCTCTAACCTCGGAGTTGACTGTTAAATGCTCGTTAAATTCTGAACAAGGGTTGTGGAAATGTACAAACGAGTCCTTTGGTATACATGCATATATATATATATATATATATATATATATATATATATATATATATATATATATTTTTTACATATATACATATATACTCTGATGCTTATGTACTTGTGTTATTTTTGCTCTTTGTTGGGTTGTTTTGAGTAGTGTTTTGTAATTATTTGTTGTGCTTGAATTGTCTGGCAAGTATGGGGGCGTTTTCACACCCATGAAGATTTGCTGGTGGGGATTTTATTTTTTTTTTTTTTTTTCAATTTAGGATTGATCCGTTCACGTGAGAGCCGCGGGAGTGGGGGGAGGGATGGGGGGGGGGGGATGGGGTGAGTGAATAGAAGGGGGAATGGGATTAAAGGATGATTGAAGAAGATGAAATAAAGATTAGTGTTCCCCATATTTCTTTTTCCTTTTCCCTCGTTCCTCCCACCCTCTTCATCTCCGTCCAATCTCTCACACACAGTACTCAGCCCTAACACCCAACCTTACTTACTGGCTCGCTCCCCCATCCATCCTCTGTCCCACACCCCACACCCCCACCTTCCACCCCACCCCACACCCCACCACCCCACCCCCACCCCCACACCCCACTACCCCACACCCCCACCCCCTGCACCCTAGACCCCCCACCCCACACCCCACACCCCACCACCCCACACCCCCACCCCCTGCACCCTACACCCCCCACCCCCACCCCAACACCCCACCACCCCACCCCACACCCCACACCCCCACCCCACACCCCACAAACAATCAGCACCAACGACCAGGCTCAGCAGCACACAACGACGTGCAGCTGCTGTCAACCACACATGCTTCCATGCACCAGCACACACATGTACACAGGACTACTGACACCCTTGTGCCCGGGTGTTGGTAACACTCGAGGCGAACCGTGCACCTGGGGTGGGAGGGAAGGACGTGGGGTGGGTGGGGAGGACGTGGGGTGGTAGGGGAGGACGTGGGGTGGGAGGGGAAGACGTGGGGTGGGAGGAGAGGACGTGGGGTGGGATGGGAGGACGTGGGGTGGGAGGGGAGGACGTGGGGTGGGAGGGGAGGACGTGGGGTGGGAGGGGAGGACGTGGGGTGGAAGGGAAGGACGTGGGGTGGTAGGAGAGGACGTGGGGTGGTAGGGGAGGACGTGGGGTGGGAGGAGAGGACGTGGGGTGGTAGGGGAGGACGTGGGTGGGAGGGGAGGACGTGGGGTGGGAGGGGAGGACGTGGGGTGGGAGGGAAGGACGTGGGGTGGGAGGGGGAGGACGTGGGGTGGTAGGAGAGGACGTGGGGTGGGAGGGGAGGACGTGGGGTGGGAAGGGAGGACGTGGGGGTGGTAGGGAAGGACGTGGGGTGGGAGGGGAGGACGTGGGGTGGGAAGGGAGGACGTGGGGTGGGAGGGGAGGACGTGGGGTGGGAGGAGAGGACGTGGGGTGGGAGGAGAGGACGTGGGGTGGGAGGAGAGGACGTGGGGTGGGAGGGGAGGACGTGGGATGGGAGGGGAGGACGTGGGGTGGGAAGGGAAGGACGTGGGGTGGGAGGAGAGGACGTGGGGTGGTAGGGGAGGACGTGGGGTGGGAGGGGAGGACGTGGGGTGGTAGGGGAGGACGTGGGGTGGGAGGGGAGGACGTGGGGTGGGAGGGGAGGACGTGGGGTGGGAAGGGAGGACGTGGGGTCAGAGGGGAGGACGTGGGGTGGAAGGGAAGGACGTGGGGTGGGAGGAGAGGGCGTGGGGTGATAGGGGAGGACGTGGGGTGGGAAGGGAAGGACGTGGGGTGGGAGGAGAGGACGTGGGGTGGTAGGGGAGGACGTGGGGTGGGAGGGGAGGACGTGGGGTGGGAGGGGAGGACGTGGGGTGGTAGGGGAGGACGTGGGGTGGGAGGGGAGGACGTGGGGTGGGAGGGGAGGACGTGGGGTGGGAAGAGAGGACGTGGGGTGGGAGGGGAGGACGTGGGGTGGGAGGGGAGGACGTGGGTGGGAGGGGAGGACGTGCGGTGGGAGGGGAGGACGTGGGTGGGTGGGGAGGACGTGGGGTGGGAGGGGAGGACGTGGGGTGGGAGGGGAGGACGTGGGGTGGGAAGAGAGGACGTGGGGTGGGAGGGGAGGACGAGGGTGGGAGGGGAGGACGTGGGGTGGGAGGGGAGGACGTGGGGTGGGAGGAGAGGACGTGGGGTGGGAGGGAAGGACGTGGGGTGGGAGGGGGAGGACGTGGGGTGGTAGGAGAGGACGTGGGGTGGGAGGGGAGGACGTGGGGTGGGAAGGGAGGACGTGGGGTCAGAGGGGAGGACGTGGGGTGGGAGGGGAGGGACGTGGGGTGGGAGGGGGTGGACGTAGGGTGGGAGGGGAGGATGTGGGGTGGGAGGGGAGGACGTGGGATGGGAGGGGGAGGACGTGGGGTGGGAGGGGAGGACGTGGGGTGAGAGGGGAGGACGTGGGGTGGGAGGGGAGGACGTGGGGTGGGAGGGGGTGGACGTAGGGTGGGAGGGGAGGATGTGGGGTGGGAGGGGAGGACGTGGGATGGGAGGGGGAGGACGTGGGGTGGGAGGGGAGGACGTGGGGTGAGAGGGGAGGAGGTGGGGTGGGAGGGGAGGATGAAATTTGACCGCATTGGGATTACCTTGAGAGGGGGAAGGTGGATACCTTTGGAAAGTGGTGAATTGATGAGAGCAGCGATGAATTGGTAGGTCGAAGAGAAGTATAAATGGGGCACTGGGTATTTTGGTGAGGAAGGGAAGGCCTGGTGGGAGCCATGTGTTGATGTGAGTGAGGTTGTGACAGGTATGAGGGGAAAGAAAGTATATATATATATATATATATATATATATATATATATATATATATATATATATATATATATATATATATATATATATATATATACCACTACTGATGGAAGTAAGTAATGCTGAGAACAGTATTAAAAGTATCAACACAAGACAGAACACGAAACAATGGGTATAAATTGGATAAGTTTAGATTTAGGAAAGACTTGGGTAAATACTGGTTCGGTAACAGGGTTGTTGATTTGTGGAACCAATTACCACGTAACGTGGTGGATGTGGGGTCCCTCGATTGTTTCAAGCGCGGGTTGGACAAGTATATGAGTGGGATTGGGTGGTTATAGATAGGAGCTGCCTCGTATGGGCCAATAGGCCTTCTGCAGTTACCTTTGTTCTTATGTTCTTATGTTCTTATGTTCTTATGTTCTAACACTTTAGTCTTACATCCCAGACCTGATTCATCTCACGTGCATGCTGCAACACCCCCCCCCACCCCCACCCTCCCCAACACATGCCCACACACCACAGTCGCAGTCTAACGGACGCGAGTTCGATTCCCGGCCGAGACAAAGACAAATTAGCAGGTGTTTTTGTTTCACCTGATGCGGACTGTATCCTGGGGATGTGTGTGTGTGTGTGTGTGTGTGTGTGTGTGTGTGTGTGTGTGTGTGTGTGTGTGTGTGTGTGTGTGTGTGTGTGTGTGTGTGTGTGAAAGGGATAATCCTAAGCTAATCCGATAAAATGTGAGTACTTTATCAGTAAGCCAGAGCCTCCTCTCCCCCCCCCTCGTCTGATGGACACACACACACACACACACACACACACACACACACACACACACACGCCACCACACTTTCACACTGGGTCACCCTAAGGTCATCCTAGGTTCATCTTTTGAATAAGACTCAGCACGGCGGACCACAGTACTTTCTCCAGCATGAACAAGGGGTCACAAGGTAAGCCAGAGGGACAGCACAAGGCCTGATGCGCTTGGGCAGCTCTGGCAGGAGAAACAGGTATTCGATAAGGCCTTCAAATAAGGCATGAGCATTTACCCGTTCGTCCATTTACCCGTACATTAATTTAACCGTCAGTCCATTCATCTGAACATTAATTTAACAGTCCGTTTATTTATCCGAACATTAATTTACCTGCCTGTCCACTTTGAAATCAATAATGCAGACAAATTACCTTAAACACTCACAGCAATTACAGAGGTTTATAGGTCAGGACCAGAGAACACCAGACAAGCAGCTGTAGCACCGGCAGCAGGGACATTATTGTGCCATTGACAGTAAGGGTGCCACAGGGCAGCAGCTTGGGACCTCTCCTATTTCTTATATACATCAATGTTTCTGACATTCTTAAACCTATGTTATTTGCTGACGATACTACCTTCATCTGTTCTGACCCCAACCTCACAGGGGTCAGAATAGCGCCTCACACTGCTACAAGCAGAATGCTTCAGTGTAACAAGCAGTGTCACACTAAGCGGGCCACCGTCGACAGCCAGCACAGTGTGTGGAGACGTATAAACCATAGTTCCAATGCCAAACATAAGCACACACGTGCAACATGCACAGAGACAAGGGAAGGGGCCCCAGGACAGAGCCTTGAGGCACTCAACTTTACAACATTTTCCCACTCTGACTTAACGCCATTTATAGTAACTCTTTGTTTCCTTTGGTATCAGCCTGACCTCTTACAAATTGCGTCTGAATTTGGCCGTTTACCCGTATGGCCGAAAATGGATGT